TTACAAATTATGTAATTAAACCTCCTAAATTATGTTAAGAAGCTTACCTCCAATATCTCTGCCACTTTTCACCCAAACTATGATACACATCTCCACTGATAGAAAACCATTTTTATTTTCTAGAGTGGCATACTCCAGACATTGATCTAAATGTGTTTCCTTTCATTTCACCCACTGGCCTAGATCCAGTCCTTTGTCACAAACAGAAAAAAAGTCTACTTTCCTTTTTCCACATTATAGCCTAATGTATCTGAAACCTTCATCATGCCCTTTTTGAATTGCCACTTTTTTGGTCATTTTTCAAAGGAGTAGCATCAAATGCAGAGTGACACAGGAGGACCACTCTATTAATGATACTATGCTTCTGTTAATGATATCTAAGTTCACAGAAGCTACTTTGAGAGCCACATACTACTATGAACTCCACTGATAGCCATAAACCTTGCTAAATTTGACCTATCCTTCAGGCTTCTCAAAATTCAAGTAATATTTAAGCACCACTGTGTGTTAGAAATTGTGAAACATTAGTGGCACAAGGAGATTAAGACATGGTCTGTCTCAATTCTGCAGAAAAGATCGATGACTAAACCCATGACTACAGTATAATACACTTTTGAGTACACTCTAATAAATACCTATTTTTTCTTCCATCATATCTACTGTGCTACCTAGGTTTATTTTATTCACATTTTATAAATATTTCCTCTCCATTCATGGAAGTAATGGATAAAAATTATGGGAATACAGATATACATACAAATCCTTGAGGCACATCTCTGGAAAACTGTATGCATTGAAATACACTTGTTAATCATTGCTTTTTAAGAATATGTGTTAAGCCAGATATATATTCACTCATTCATGTTATTGCATGCCCTGTGTTTCTTTGTCTTTACCAAGAATATTATGAAATGTACTATGGAAAGACCAAATACTCATTGTCATTGAATACTTTTTTTCTAATCTACCCAGCTACAAGCCCTGACAAGAAGTGCATTGGCAGTTTGTTTGTTTTTTTAATTATAGTTGGCATACAAGATTATATTAATTTCAGGTGCATTACATAGTGATTCAACATTTATATATCCTATGAT